CTGTATGGCAGAAGGTTCCATTGACTAAATTCCCAAACACAAGAAAAACAGCTGAGTGGAACTACTGTAAAAACCCTTGTGCTACTTTACCCAGTGAACTGCATCAAGTCCTCCACATGTACTTTAACTGGGCAGTATTGAAGGGTCAGTTTCCTAGAGAATGGGTGTGGCTGCAGCTGGGTGGGAGCGGTCAAGTTATATCACAGGTAGGTAAGCATGGTCTGAATGACCAGCCACCATGGCCCAGCTGATCAGGGGTACAACACAATGGACACACAATGGCTACTTCCTCCTGATCTATTCTAATACTATTTGAACTACAGGTCACAGGTCACATTGGGGTTATTGTCAAATCCTCCTTTTCCCCTCCCCCACCCCACCCATATTTTGAAGGGTCAAGGGGGATTTATAAAGCCATGTTTGATTCTTTCCATGACCCACCAAAGTTGCAGCGATTTGCTTGTTTTAGCAAACACAGATACAATCAATTCTAAATTATCATAAAACTTGATCAAAGCAAAATCATATAAATTATCCTTTCAATTACCACAAAGGATTTAAACAATTCATAAATTTACAATACATCTATTCAAGATAGTAAAGATTAAAATTACAAATACCATTCCGAAAATAAATCATTTCCCTATCGCATATGAGAAAACTGAGGCAAATACAAAAAACACACCATATTTCCTTATTTATCATTTTCATAAATTGGGTCTAATTTCATTTAATGTCAGTCCATGTTAAACACACTAAATAACTGACAAAAACCATAACAGCCTTCTCATTCACCAAACTCCAGCACTATACAATCTGAGGGGTGGGACAGTATTATCAATAACTAAACAGCAATTGCTCCCGCAAACTTTTAGACAAACGTGTCTCCTTACAAGCCTTGATATTTATTGGCTGACGGCCCAAACCAGAAATTCCAGTATTTTGGAGAGAGAGAGACCCATAATAAACCTGATCGTCACTAATTCTCTGCTTGGGCTAATGACACCATGGCAACCAATGGAACTATAGAGGATTTTCCAATAGAGTTGACAAACGGGGCATGGGTATAGAAATCGTAATCACTGTTACACCACCTAATGTTTCTGTGAAATCTGCCAACCCGGGTAGGCTGTTCAATTGAATTAAGATATATCAAAAGTATTCGCCAGTCAAAGATCTTAAACAAGCACACAATCGGGAAGTCATGGCCCCGGCAACCGGTAGTCAAGGGGACTGAAAGACAAATTCTATCATTTGACACGAGGACATTTCTCAATATAGAGTTCAGCCTACTAAACCATAATGCCTAGCAATTCCACAAACTTCCATAAACATGTGGGCCAACAGGCCTAAAATCAGGGGAAAATTGTTTGTACCTGTATGGAGTTTGCTGGGATATAGAGCTATATCTATAGACATTATGTATGAATGTCTCGCCATTGGTTCATCAAGCAGGTTATTTCAACCCAACATTGGGTCTGTAGGACGACCATATTTAATCACTCACAATTCTATTCAAACACAAATATTGAGCAGAGAGTCTCCCAATAAAAACTATTGGGTTTATGTAGCTTGTATAACTCATAAAACATTGATTTATGCAGGAAATGCCCCTAAATTCAAATTTATCAATATTTATCTGTCTCGAACTCTTGCCTTGTTTATTTTCAACTATTAGGCACAGAGAGGTACCTTATACAATATTGATTATAAAGTACACAAAAAGGGGGAAAAGGTTATCAAACTCAAATAATAAAAATATTCAATTTAAAAAAATAACACTTTTACTTTTTTACTTTTCTTAACTTCAAATTTTACATTTAAATGTAGAACAAAATTAACTTTGGACCCAAACAGTTAAATATATGTCAAAGTGACTATCTAAGTGTAACAGCATTATTGACAAAACAAAGTCAAAGATAGTTAATATGTAACATACCAACTCAATAATGCTTTTTTTTCATAGAGACAAAAATATTTAGTCCATTGCTAGGAAGGTAGAAACAGGTCCAGGCAGATTGCCAGGTCATTGAAAGATATCACTATTAATACAAATATCAAGTTCTGGCACACATACAGTACATATATTCAGAAGTATATTCATATTATATTCAAAGGCTTCTTCATACTCAAAAAACATGCCAGGCATGTATAGGAAATCCTGAAAGCTATCATTGTGACTACATGTGAGCTGTGACACACTAGAAATAATGTGTGAAATCTTAATAGTTTTTATAACCAACTTGAATGTAAATTTATTCACATGTCATGATTTGCAACTCTTACATTCCCCGTTCATAAATATATCTAACAGACTTCCTAGTAAGGGAAGGTTGTAAACTACTTCTCAGATGAATACACAAGAATAAATGATGAATTATCTAATGTTATCTGATGAAGTAATGAACCAGTATAACATTGTTGTTTTGCACATTTAGAGCTGAGAAAAAAATACTGATAAAGATTTTATCAAATAGGGAGAAATGATAGCAAATTGCCTGACCTGTTTTGAGAGGAAATTATCAGTTTTTATCAGACCACTATATGAAGGGATTGTGAAGAACAAGCGACTAGTACTTTGTACTGCACAGCAATGCTGTGTTATATAATATTTATCTTTACCCTACCATCTCAAGTTAAGGCTTCTGACATCAATTTACTCCAGAAATAACATTAACTTCAGGCTTGTAATAAAAAACACATACTGTCATATTCCTTTAGTAATATTAACCATATGCTATTGAATTATAAGTTAATTCCTATAATTGTAACAAAGTATTATTATTCCAAAGATATTTCTTGTAACAATGTAAGAGAACCCAACATCGGCCGTTTCTTGTCCTCCACATTAAGATTTAATTCAAAAGATTTGTTACTTGACTGACCATATGACACACAATCCATGTATCTTCTCAACATCATACATAGAGTAACTTCACTGTTCTCAACTTACGTCTCTCTCTGGGGTACTTGTGCAGAATAGGTCCCCAGCACCCTTAGTGCTTGATGTAAGAGCCAAGTAACATGCTCATTCTGTCAACCACTGGTTCGTCTCATCTAGACTTAATTATTATATGACATTCAGCTGTCATGTTACTTGACAGAGGTGAAAAACAAAACTCACTTTCAATGTATGACACCAGTGTTGTGTCAAGATTTGACATGGGTCCTAAATATAACACAGTATACATCTTTTTTTTTAAGAAATTGGCTGCAAACATAGAAAGTTGTGAAGGCCAATGCCTAATTCCACTTGGTTTTTACAGAGATAGAAATGGCCACATGTCCTCTAGCTAGACTCATTTATCTGATGGCAATGCAGACTTTCCAGTGTTTCGGCTTGTATACCGTACCTCAATCTGATCACAATGCAAATCACCCCGCAACATACAGTTTTACAAATCAAAGTGATCATGTTTTGGCTCTAGTAACCTATTCTTGTGTATGGACACTCTACACATTTCATTTTTAACATTAGTGTCATGACAGGACTTTCAACTTATGTTGCAACTTGGGAACTTATTCTTATGCCTCTGACAAGGTAATGCTTTCCCAAGACCCGTACTAATTGTGTAGATCGATGTGCATGATGTCAATGACTGGATTGTCTGGTCCAGACTCACTGAGGGCAGTGTTAAACAACAAACAAACTATAACAGTTATAACTTCCATAACATCCTTCCACTCAAGATCTGTCTGGTAGCCTAGTGGTTAATGCATTAGATCGTCACGCCATAGGCCTGGTTTCAAATTCTCACTGTTAACTGTGTGAAGCCCATTTCGGGTGTCCCCCGCCATGATATTGCTGAAATAGTGCTAAAAGCAGTTTAAAACCACTTACTCCTACTCTACATCTGATTAGGAAATCCGTCCCATACCATCACGGTTCTAACCTCAGGACCTGGTAACCACAGTTCTGTTTCAACCCTGCGGATCATCCATGTGCAAAGAGAACCATTAAACACAAACTGTAAAGTAAAATGCAGATAATGTTCTACTGTTTATGATTTGAAGGTAATTTGATGTCATCAAATTATTCTCGTTGGAGAGGAGTAAAGCAGTTATATTATGATAGCCAGTTTACAGGAATAATAGTCTTCTCCTAAACCAATCAGCCATGGAAACATCCCACAATCACCAATGTCTTTACATTGGTTGTCTTGACAATAGTATTGAAGGTGTCACACGCACAGCTGCCTAGGTAGATGGAATTCATTCCCATCCTTCTTGCTTCTAAATTATTGAACACAAAGTCTTTCTTCCCTAGCATCAGTGATTCCAAACAACCAATGCATTTCCAAGCAACACGGCCAGGCATTTCCATACAAGGAATGGATTACCTTACCGAGTAGCCTGCCACTCCATCACACAATTACAGACACACTGTAGGCCCATTATCATAATTCCCATTTGATACTGAACATTAACTAACAAATTAATAAGAACATGTCTCGCCTAGATTCAGTAATAAAGCAGAAAAAGAACAATTACGTCCTTAATGATCCATAGGTGTAATCAACAAAATCATGTGTGCTTCATTTAATGCTTACAAAATAAACACAAACATGGGAGGATTGGAGGCCATCAATGCATGCAGCTGTGATGTACACAGCAACTCGACCAAGCAACATTTTATGAGTGCACGAGCAACAGAAAGTCATATCTCTAATGGTTTACGATTATGTTTTATTTAGGCTTAAAAAAAACAGTGGTAGAAATAGAACTGAAATGTTTACTAAGCCAATTAGGAATAACCAACAAGAACAACAACTACCTTAGGTGCCCCACACAGTGATACTGCTGAAACATTGCTGAAAGTGGCGTCAATCCTCTACCACTCACTCTGAAAAAGGCTGAAATTCTACTAGCCCTCAGCATACCCTCAACATTAGTTAGGTGAACTGACTTGAAATAGTGCAAATTTGATCCTTGAAAACATAGGAGCTAATGTTTCGATGTGATGAACAAAATAATACTCATATAAAATACAATAAACTCACCTCCATTAATTTGAGCAAGTTTTTGGAATTGATTGTTGAAGATGCCCTTGGTGGAACTCTGGGACTTTCCATCCATGTGAGCTGTTTTGGATAATGGTTGAATGTCTGACGAAATCCCTTCCATCAGGTCCTGGGCGCTTGGGGACTGGTGCTGGTACAATGTAAAGTTTTTGAGAGGTATTTGTTTCGTGACGGAATCAGCAGACCCACCAAAACCATAAATACTGAGCAGTTCATTCATTGTGTTTTTTGCATAGTCCTGAAGAACACGTGCTTCAGCAGATACCATTGGTTTCGCAGGGGAATCGTGAGTATCTGGTGTCACGTGATCAGTAGAGAGGTCAGCAGCATGATCATGTGACTCCAACGTTGACTGGTACGTGGCTTCTCTGTCACTATCGGCTGATCGAGGGCTACCGTTGACACTTGCATCATCAGCAGCACGACTGACCGACAGGTCGAGTGGGAAACCCGAACTGGCATAGGAACTAGAGTTTAATTCTGACTTCTCTGCACATATAGAATCCTCCTTATCACTTGCCATTGAATCAATCTGTGAGTGAGGGTCAAGGTCACCAGGTGAGGTGGCGCGAGAACTGTCCATGGACAAGTCCTGAGCAAGCAATTCATCCGTCTCTCCTTCCTGTGGGGGAAAGTCTGTGTTCTGATTGTTGATCTCATACGGACCCAACTCATCCTTCCTCGTACCCTCAGAGAATTTCACATCTTCATACTGGGCTAGATTCCTAGGGCAAGCAGATTTCCGACTTTTCTTGCGACCACTTGATTTTGATGACTTGGGTGTAGCTGCCTGATAAGTTTTGGCTGTGTCAGGTGTCGAAGCAAGAAGAGGTGCAGGTTGTATGATGGGGGTGGACGGAGCAACTGGCTCGGGAGGCACACTTCCGTTGAAGTCTAGGGTCTTCTGGTTGTTGTTGTTGCTTTCTGAGGCCTCTGGCGGTTCCGAAAGCGAAGCCTCATCATTGTCGTTAGAACTCGGCGCTTCAGGTGTGTGGGATTTGAGTTTGGCACAGATGGCATCCAGCTTGCCAAGTTTCAATGAAAGCGCCATATCAGCAGTTTGACCAAGGGTTGTATTTTGTTCTTACGTGGCCAGATCACATGACGAGAGTACTGTACAACCTGTAAATGATGAAAAGACTTGTCACATGATGTTTAGATCTTCCCTCAACCAAATCAAAAGACTCAACAAGAAACCAGGACCATTTATATAATAACTAACCCTATAGCTATAATGAATTATAGATTTGCTGTCCAAAGTTATGAAAAAGAATGATGAAAGTCCTTAGCCTTACGAAAAAGAGTGAGTTAAAATTTTGTATCACACTGGCAATACCTCTGCCATATGGTGACAATTTAGTGGAAAACTATGGCATTCAGTCACAATGGGATATAAGTAATTATGAGTTCATGAAGTGATGCTTCACTGATGTTAGCATATTTATTCAAATGAGTAATGTCATCAATCTGTGATGTCATGAATAATGGAGGATGTTATATTATGTATTATATATAAATACACAGCAATTTGACTTGATGATGATGCAACTAACCAATCATCTTTGAGAAGTGTGAAAATTACACATGTACAAATATTGGACAATTACTACATTCAGTGATCCAGCCAGCTTATGGGTAATACTGAAAAATATTGAAAGGTTAACCCAAAACTTTATCACCATCAAAACGATGGCCCACTTGCACAAAGTAATCTTAGCGCTAAGGCTAAGGTAAGTCCCTGTTAAAGCATGGGAGCTACAATCGTCATAGCACTTGGATCACTTTGTCCAAGAGGATCCAGATCCATAAATCATAAAGTTTACAAAAAGTAGTTTCCCGAGATTACTTTCAGTGTTCAGATTAAGCATGAGAGTCTGGGGTCCTTGTCATAACCCTTATGTTACAAATTAAAGATTCAGGGGGCCCAAGATTCAAATACCATTAGATTAGACCTCCCCTAATTTCAAACAGTGACAATTATGAAATTATATGGATTAATGCATGCAAAATATTGCTATTTCGTTCAAAATACCATCCCACATAAGTCTTTACAACTAAAGTACATTTCCCTCAAGAAAAACTCTGGAGGATATCACATTTGATAACAGGCATGTGAGCATACTATTCTGGGGCTAGTGTTAAACATACTTCAGCACAGGCTGTATTTAAAAATCCAATGATGAATAGATGAAATAAGGTGACTTAGTTCACAACATCCACCATACGCATGTAGGTGAAGTGAAATTATCTGCAACTCCCACAATTGAAATTTACTCAATAAAATAAAATTATCCAGCAAAATGATATGTTTTCAAGTCCCATGATGCACAACAAATGTTTACAAGGCGTAAAAAAACTTTAGAACTAGATTTTCCCATTTACGATGACATGAATATGGAAAATTATTGGATTTGTCATCCAGTTAAAGAATCCTACATAGCTGGATGATTAAGCATCAATTACAGTGGCTAGTGTTATTCAGCACCATGTAATTAGCACTACATATATCAATACAATATAAATCACAGTTCTACTAATGTAAGCAATTTGAGTCGATCAAAGTCCATTTTCTCACGGACGACATTCTTCCAATAAATTTACCCATAATTCACATGATTCAGATATATTGGATAAACTTTTGACATTCAAAAACTGAGTGAAACTGCGACGAAGCTCATTCCGTGGCACTGGATATATCAATTTTCACCCCAATTTACAGTTTCTCACTAAATTGTGGCAATTTGAATAATTTTCTATTGGAGTCGTATTTTGGTGAAATGTCAACGTGGATTGATGTTTGGTGTATTCACACAGTTGCTGACTGAGCGAGCTGCCACATATCAATGCTCAACATTCTTAAATGACATCGTTATGGCAACCATTCATAGCCAAATTATACTAAACAGATCAAATGCAGGTTATTACACTAGCAACAAAGGCCTGGGACTGAACCAGCTGAATTTCTCAGGGAAGTTACTCACTTTATTAGAATTTGTCTACATACAGTAGTAGTGCTGGCACAATTCTCATGAAATATGTTCTCGCAATGAAATATTTATTAACCCTGAGTTAATATCAGCTCAATTGTAAAATCCATTGACAGTGCCAAGTACTTTGACAAATAAATAATAAAATATTTCCCAGTTGTTGAGTTGGTGGAAGCTGGTGAGAGACATTTCCTCTGGTTGGGTTAATTTCTATACTGCTCAGCCTCTAGTACTGTTGTTAGAGTGTCAGGCTTTGTTGGATAATTATAGTGATGTAGACGGACATGAAAGCTGCTCCAACAAACACAAGTTTTGTACATCTTTGTTTGTTCAAATACTCCTGCAGAAATATATGTGTAAAAACTGACACACATATACATTAGCTAATTCGGAGCACAGAGGAATGGAAATGTGTATTAGTATAATATGTATATTAAAAAAATATATAGAAAGGTAACACTACAGAAACTTTTAAATTGAAAGTCGTAACAAAATATTTGTAACTACCAAATTACTTATTCATGTAAAATTGACCAAATTTGCTTGTAACCATAGCAACAATCTGATTCCGACCAATATGTACAGATTAACACTCTTTTTACAGTATATTTCATCACCCTGTTGTAGATTTTCCCAGTAAATAAACTGTTCACTCTGAGTTAAACTTGGTAGATGGCAAACTATCACAAAGGACATTGTGACATCAGATATTCCATTTCTCCTGACAACAAAACCAATCTGGTGTGAAATGTGAGCAGGTACTATCACCAAGTTCCAACATAATCAGCCTCAGTTTGGTCCTGTGTGTGAACCCCATAGACGCTGTAGGAGTCTCCACATAGACTCTACAATATAGGCCGACATTACACATATTGATATCTGATGCTATAGTAACGGAGCCCAACACGAAACGCATCATGCGTGTCAGAAACACTGTTAATCCTCCCAACAATCGACAAGACTAATCTATAACATCACTATTATTCCCTGTTAAAAGGATAAAAACATCAAGCATATCTCACCTCCAAGACAATAGCCAGCACTTAGAAACTATTATTTCACATTAGAAATGCCCGTCCAAATTAACATGACATGAATAGTTTATCCTGGCCACCTCATACCATGGAAACAGAAAGATCTTGCACTTGTTATGGCAACAAAAACATAATAGTCAAGCTCAATTGTTTTTTAACATGAACGCACCTACTTCTAGCGTCGCCTTATTTTACAAGCAAAAAATTTACACAATCAATCATTAGGTTTTGCTTGGGATTGATAGGGACATTACCTTTCATGAGATGCCAGTCAAATTAAAGCAAAAGATTGAGTTTCTTAACATATGATGAATAAATGATAATGACAGTAATGAAATGATCCCTGACGGGAGGCAGTGTTTTTCACCCTGTGACTGAGGTGAGTTTCCTGGCCTGGTGGGGGACACAATGATGTGAACACTGTCCTTCATGCAGTAGGGAAAACAAAAATGACATTCTGATGAAAAATATCAATCATTCCAACAGTTGAGGCAGAAACAAAGCCCTTAGCAACAATCACCCTGTGTCACATATAAAAAATATGGTCGTGATTATGCACACCATGCCAAAATACATACAGAAATTAAATATGTTTTCATAAAATTGCAATGTAACAAATATTTATTACTATACCATGTCTTTTATAGTGGTTCTTACAAAAGACACTAACAATCTGGAACTTCAGCACCTATTCCAAACCTCAAAACTCTTTCTGTCACAGCTAATATTCATAATAATAGTCTGCATATTTACCAAAAAAAGTCAGCAAAAATAATTTGAAGAGAATTACCGGCATTAACATTTTTGGCAACATAAGATTTTTTAAACAAATATAGTGATATCATGAATGCATATTCATTTTTGATGGAATAAATTACAAAACTTCTATCATGTAGGTCCCTCAGTGTTACTAACACAAAGTGTCAGTTAAATGAAATTAAGAAAAACATTACAACATTATTAAAAATTATAACATAAATACAATAAATTGACAACTAAAACAATGAAAGTGATTTTCCTAAGAGCACTGGTGGAAATTTACACCAGAAAAACAGCAAGCTGGTCCAACTCACCATGTACAGCTATCTCATTGCCAACAAACCACAGAAAGACAAGACTTCTCCAAATATCAAAGTACATAAAGTTTGCAATATCAGTGAGGCCCCTCCTCTGTTCATATATCTACACAACTATCGGGGCAAGTATGCCCATGGCGACATAACTAGGGACACTGGCAGCCAATTTTTATAGACTTTCCCTACCGCTAGTTTCCTGCCATAGAAACATGGTTTATACAGGAAATTCCAACACAGGCGACAGTCTCCCTATCCAGGTTACTGCAGTAAATGCAATTGGGAGACAAAAGTAGCTAAACTGACACAGGATTAGATCCCCATACTAGCTTTAGGGCCTAATCTTGTCAATTATTACAATATGGCCTTTTTAAAATCTGTCCATTTCCTCAAAGTGATCCGTCAATGTCAACTTGTCATTACCTTCACTGGTCACTCTGTGCTCAAATATTCCTGACAATGACAACATTTTTTGACACAAAGGTTATTGCCCATTCATGTGTATTCATTTGTGTGTTAAACTCACGCCTCATTCATAAAACAAGTATTGTTGATATGACATGGGTGAACAAGATGGGAATATGACATGCAAAAAGACAATCACCTGTCTCTCCTTAATGAAGATACCCCCTTTGTCCAATACCATCCAAGGATAAGGCCATATATTTACTGAGGCTGAGAAATTGTTTTGCTCATCGTTCAAAGTTAAGTCAAAAGCAAATTCATTCCAGCCCATTCTAGACATACAATTTTGAATTAGCTTCATGTTATGATTATCTGCATGTCAAACTGCAGGTCACATGTCAGTCACAAGTCTATTGTTGATAAATAAATTAAGTATTCAAATCAAACACAACCCCTTTGTTTCCAAACCAATTATAATTTTGTTATAATGTTATTAAGTTGATATAAAACTTTTTCCTAAAAACATAACAATCTGACATTTCTCATTTCGCAAAAAACGGACACAAATTTCCTTACCACCCTCACACTCCACCCCTATCACTTCTCATTTCGCCTACCTTTCT